CTCCACCACACCTCCTGCATGTATGTAAGCAGCCTCCACCACACCTCCTGCATGTATGTAAGCAGCCTCCACCACACCTCCTGCATGTATGTAAGCAGCCTCCACCACACCTCCTGCATGTATGTAAGCAGCCTCCACCACACCTCCTGCATGTATGTAAGCAGCCTCCACCACACCTCCTGCATGTATGTAAGCAGCCTCCACCACACCTCCTGCATGTATGTAAGCAGCCTCCACCACACCTCCTGCATGTATGTAAGCAGCCTCCACCACACCTCCTGCATGTATGTAAGCAGCCTCCACCACACCTCCTGCATGTATGTAAGCAGCCTCCACCATGGCCTGGTGGCAAAATTTTTCGCTTCAGTCTGTGAGGTTACGGGTTCGATTCCCGGGGCAGGAGTGCAAACATTGGACGTGTTTTCTTACACTGGTGTCTGTTCACCATCTGTAAAATGGGTACCTGGGTGTTAGTCGGCTGGTGTGGGTCGCATCCTGGGACAAAACTGACCTAATTTACCCGAAATGCTCAGCATAACAAGAGGCTTCCTATATAGCAGTATGTCATTGACGTCAGCTAGGCGTATACCTTGAAATTGCACTTTTACTAAATAAAGATATTATTATAATTATTATTTATTATTATTATTATTATTATTATTATTATTATTATTATTATTATTACTATTATTATTATTATTATTATTATTATTATTATTATTACTATTATTATTATTATTATTACTATTATTATTATTATTATTATTATTATTATTATCATTATTATTATTATTATTATTATTATTATTATTATTATTATTATTATTATTACTATTATTACTATTATTATTATTATTATTATTATTATTATTATTATTATTATTATGCAAGCAGCCTCCACCATACCACTTCCATATTCTTGCAGAAGTCCTGGTTGACAAGGCTTCCAGCAGGCTGCCATGATGTCAGAATCCTCGAGTCAGGTCACAGGCACATCACAGGTATGAGTTATTTTATTATTCAGCTTGCACCTCACTCTAATTTTCTCATCGTCAGACATAACGTTTTCTATGTCCTAGATATCCTTGAGTAACTTCTACGTCGTTTTCATATCTCCCCAGATTCTTCACTACTTGGCAATGAGTTCAGCGCCTCTGAGTCTGTCCTCATTACTCATGCTCCTTAATATCACTCCTTAATTCCATCTTCATCTAGGCCAACAATTAGCACATGAAACAGGTATAAGTGTAGTAATATACATAATTCCAACCTCCTTAAATCTTATTAATGTCTAGGATGAATTTCTCATTGCGTTTCCTGCAATCATTGAGGGAACGAAGCTCGCTTTGCCGGCTCTTTGAAAGCAACTCCACGGACATTATTACTTCTCTCTCTCTCTCTCTCTCTCTCTCTCTCTCTCTCTCTCTCTCCCTACTCTCAGCTAACCATTTTCTCCGACTTTAGTCATTTCTCCTATTCACTCAATCATCATGCATCCATGAACGCTAAAATTTCCCTGGAATATAATAGAGGATTCTCTCTGGCTTTTAGTGAGAGGAAAAAAGTCGTATTATTTACCAGTGTCAAACAGAGTCCTTCATAGCTTAAGTAAGTCCGGTTGAGTGAGTTATCTTGTTATGCTCGACCCTGGGTAGGCTTTATCGGTCTGTTATCAGTGAAAGAAGCCTCCAAGATTAGAATTAACCTTAAAGAAACCTCCGGTGATGTTATTACCTTTAAGGAAGCCTTCAGCGAAAATATTACCAGTAAAGGAAGCTTTCGGTGATAATATTATCCATAACGGAAGCCTTCAATGACAGTATCACCCGCAAAGAAAGCCTTCAGTGATAACATTATTTATAATTGAAGTATCCAGTGAGTAGTATCACTGGAGAAAGCCTCCGGTAATAATAGTTCTCATGGAGGAAGCCTCCAGTAATAAGAATACTCATGGAGGAAGCCCAAAGTAATAATAAACCCATTAAAGGAAACTGAGGAAGCCTCGAGTGACAGTATTATTATGAAAAAAACCTTCAGTGATAATATTTTCCATAAATTAAGTCTTCAGTGATGATATTACCATAAAGGAATCTTCTAGTGATGATATCCGTAATATAATCTCGTCATGAAATTCTTCTTAAAGAAGCCTCCATTGATGATATTATTCATAGAGGAAGCCTCCAGTGATGACATTATCCACAGTGGAAGCCTCCAGTGATGAGAATATCCACAGTGGAAGCCTCCAGTGATGAGAATATCCATAGAGGAAGCCTCCAGTGATGAGATTATCCAGTGAGGAAGCCTCCGGTGATGAGATTATCCAGTGAGGAAGCCTCCAGTGATGAGATCATCCAGTGAGGAAGCCTCCGGTGATGAGATTATCCATAGAGGAAGCCTCTATGGTTAGAGGAAGCTTTTAGTCATAATTTGGTCAAGATTAATTGTGTCTTGAAAGATTTTCCTTAATGATTATTCCTTTAACTGTTAGTTAGTGTAACTGAGTATAACTGTTAGCGTGACTGAGTGTAATGTAACTGTTAGTGTGGCTATGAGCGTAACTGTGTAAGTTTAACTGTTAAGTTATACCAGAATGCAACCTTTCAAGCTTAAGTGACAGCAGAATGTCGTCTATGACCCATAAATGATAGCAGAATGTGACATTTCATTTATGATTGATAGAATAATGTCAACTATCACCCATGAATGACAGCAGAATGTCACCTGTCATACATAAAAGATAGCACGCTGGCACCTGGCATCCACCATCGCTATCATAAACATGTATTAGCAGTACAAATTAACAGATGGACACAGGGAAGAATGATTGAAGAATTATGCTTGGTATATGAAAATAACGATAGCGAAATTAAGCATAATTTTATATAGTACAACAAATAACATAAATTATAGACGTATATTAGAAGAATGACACTAGTATCATTCACATTATTATAGGATTATGATATGCATCATGCACACGTTACTACCGAGAAAAAATCATTCCTTAATCAAAGCAGCAACACAAGTATCATCCTGAAATTATAGCATCACGAGACATTACCCGTAAATTATAGGAGAAAACACATATCATCCATATATGACGGAAGAGCAACATATAGAGTCAATGACAACAGAAACATTCACACATCATCCTCTAATGATAGCCGAGCGATACATTCCATCCGTAAATGATAGCACAATAAGGTATGCCATCCTCAGACGATAACATATAAGACACATACCATTAATAATTCCCACCAGAAAGACACATGTTGTCCTTGAATGATGACAAAGAATAAACTCAGTAATGGTCAGCCGAAAGGCTGGGCCAAGAGCTAGACTCAACCATGGCAACCATATATGAGTACGTTTCATCAATAAAATCTAGGCTTGCACTTATCAGTAAATTTTAGCCGCAAGACACATCCTCAAATGACAGCAAGAATGACACACATGAATACATTCTAGCAGACAGACACATGTCATCCTCACATAACATCAGAATGACCCTCCACTCTCAACACCGCGTTAATGATAATAGAATTACTCAAAGGTTTCTGAATATCACAGGAAATACGAGCTGCACTAACTCACAACTTGATAAATAAACAAGCAAGTGGTAGTGGTCTCGGGAGATAAACTTTGCCAGAGACCTAAACTTGGGCCGAGTACCCAACACCGTACGTAAAAGACCGCAAACTTACGGACCAACTTTCCAAAACGCAATGAAATAATTTTTTTAAGTTTGCCGAATATTTCCTCAAAGGGTACCGATGATATTTTTTTTTTTTGTATGTGTCCCGGATCCTTGTGAAGAATTCTGTAATATTCAATCGATGTGGGAGAAAATTATTCTCGAATAATTCTCGAAATTATTAAGGAGATTTGGAATAACTGACTAAACTTTAAAGGAGCGAGAGATAATTTTTGAACTTTTAAAAGAACTGAGTAAATAACTCAGCATCGAATTGAATCTGTGACCATAGTACTAGTAGGGGGGGGTAGGGATGGGGAGGGAGGAAGGGTGTGGTAGGGATGGGGAGGAAAGGAAAGGAGTGGTAGGGATAAGGAGGGAAGGAAGGGTGTGGTAGGGATGGGGAGGGAAGGAAGGGTGTGGTAGGAATGGGGAGGAAAGGAAAGGTGTGGTGGGGATGGGGAGGAAAGGAAATATGTGGTAGGGAAGGGAAGGGAAGGAAGGGTGTGGTAGGGATGGGGAGGAAAGGAAAGGTGTGGCGGTGATGGGGAGGGAAGGAAGGGTGTGGTAGGGATGGGGAGGGAAGGAAGGGTGTGGTGGGGATGGGGAGGAAAGGAAAGGTGTGGTAGGGATAGGGAGGGAAGGAAGGGTGTGGTAGTGATGGGGAGGAAAGGAAAGGTGTGCTGGAGATGGGAAGACAAGGTTAGGAGAAAGAAGGATGGGGAGAAAAGGTCTGGTGAAAGAGGGAAGACGAAGGAAGGTTCGGGGTAGGATGCTGAAGCAAGACTGCAAGTAATAAGATCAAGAGTAGGGTAAAATGCAAGCAATATGAAGAGTTAGACACATGTGCAACATCTGCGTATCTTAAATTTATAGACGTCTCGTCATCCAGTGACTTTATCAATACAATACAAGGATATACCGTGAAGACTGTAGCAGTAAATACAAAAGACGAGGTAATCAGTCCCTCAGCCTTAGAGCAAGTCTTGAAGAATGTGAGATTTTTTAGACTGCTCTTCGCTGAGGGACTGATTGCCTCGTCTTTTGTAATTACTTCTACAGTCTTCACACATGTTGTACATGTGTCTAATTCTGCATCTTGTCTGTACTGTATACCATTCACGTATAATACAAGCAATGGCTCGACTTCTCAAAAAGGATACAGTCCAAGAGGAGTGAAGGGATGCCTTGATGCAAGTGAATGACTTTTGATCCAAGGAACAAGAGTTGTAGGATTGCTACCGGCTTACCGCCTCCCTAAGATTGTAATAAAAATTGCTCATTAGCACAAGCACTTGTACCTCACCTTTGGTCCTTAGTGTAGGTATGGGAGTCCCAGGTGAGTAGCTCTAACATGTCGTCAACACGTCTCAACCACGCCACCTGTGGGAGAGAGAGACAGTGCCACTGTTACTGCCAGCAGATAGTGCCAAAGAAGGTTTACTTGATTAAAGCAGGTATATTTTCAGCAGGAATCAATATAGTCTTGTAAATCACTACTGGTAAGGGAAATTTTGCAAACCATGGATAGTCCTACAACTCTGCAAATCAAGATATATATTTGAAGTGAACAAATCACGATCGGTTATGGACGCCTGTAAATAACAACTAATCTTAGAACTTTGTAAATCACTACAAATCTTCTAAGTTTGCAAATCACTACTAATCCTGGAAGATTGTAAAACACTTCTGGTCTTTTAATTTTTTGTTACAAACGACAGAGCCCAGTATCGTTATCATCAATAATGCCACCACACACTACAATCATCTCAAAATGTTTTGTATATTGTTAGACGTGCATAAATTATGTTAGGGTTAATTATTAAAGTATTTTACCATTATTCGATGATGGAATAATATCAGCACAATAATAATTAATACAAATTAACACAAATACATATACGCGATTGTATATATGTTTTTTATATATATATATATATATATATATATATATATATAAAATATATATATATATATATATATATATATATATGTATATATATATATATATATATACAAACTACAAACAATCGCACTGGGATGGTCCAATAGTGGAAAATATTGCCTCATCAATGCTTCAGAGTGTGTCAGGGAAGGATAGAGCCCGCCTCCTGGCAGTGAGAGCCCCTCATGCTGGGGACTTTCTGTTGGCTGTTCCCAACTTCAGCCTTGGCACACGTCTCGACCCACAGACCAACCGCATCGGTGTTGCCCTTCGACTTGCCGCCCCTATTCTCGCCGAACACAGGTGTATTTGTGGCAGTGAAGCAGCAGACCGATTCGGGTACCATGGTCTTGTGTGCCGTAAATCCGAGGGAAAGATTGCAAGACATGAGGAGGTTAATAACATTATCAAGAGGAGCCTCACAACAGCTGGATGCCCAGCAGTAAGGGAGCCACCCCAACTATGCAGATCTGATGGCAGCCAGAAGCGTCCAGATGGTATCACCCTTCAAGCCTGGACAGATGGGAAGCAGGTGGTGTGGGACTATACATGTGCATCTACCTTGGCTGATACCTATCTCCAATACACCAGGGAGGAAGGAGGGGCAGCTGCCAGCTTCAGGGAGTCCCAAAAGTCTAGAAAATATGGAGAACTTGCCCATCATTATATGTTTGTTCCCATAGGCTCAGAGACCCTTGGCTCATGGGGAAAGAGTGCATCTAAATTCCTTAAGGAGCTGGGAAAAAGACTCATCAGGGTAACTAGGGATCCCAGGGCAGCTAGTTTTCTGTTCCAGCGGCTCAGTGCGGCTGTTCAAAGGGGTAATGCCTGCTGTATTTTGGGCACACGCCCCAGCTCTGAGGAGCTGGATGAGATTTTCGCCTTATAATCGGTGATACACACGTAACAACATGTACCGTATATGCCACCTTTATATCAATAATGTATCTCTTAAATCTTCTGTACCATATTATGTAATAAAATATTCCTATTAGTAAAAAAAAAAATAAATATGAAAAGATGGGGTGGTAGGGGAAGTGGAATATTCAAACGGCTTCAGGAAGAAATCCAAATATTTTCCTTGAAGCCTTTTTATCCACTTCACCGAGGCTATGGGTCCCACAATTTACACCAGAGGTGGACCCCATCCTATATATATATATATATATATATATATATATAATATATATATATATATATATATATATATATATATATAATATATACATATATATATATATATATATATATATATATATATATATATATATATATATATATTATATATATATATATATATATATATATATATATATATATATATATAGGGTGTGCAAAAGAAGAAATTGAAAGTGAATACAGGAAAGAGTAAGGTTATGAGGATAACAAAAAGATTAGGTGATGAAAGATTGGATATCAGATTGGAGGGAGAGAGTATGGAGGAGGTGAATGTATTCAGATATTTGGGAGTGGACGTGTCAGCGGATGGGTCTATGAAAGATGAGGTGAATCATAGAATTGATGAGGGGAAAAGGGTGAGTGGTGCACTTAGGAGTATGTGGAGACAAAGAACTTTGTCCATGGAGGCAAAGAGGGGAATGTATGAGAGTATAGTTTTACCAACGCTCTTATATGGGTGTGAAGCATGGGTGATGAATGTTGCAGCGAGGAGAAGGCTGGAGGCAGTGGAGATGTCATGTCTGAGAGCAATGTGTGGTGTGAATATAATACAGAGAATTCGTAGTTTGGAAGTTAGGAGGAGGTGCGGGATTACCAAAACTGTTGTCCAGAGGGCTGAGGAAGGGTTGTTGAGGTGGTTCGGACATGTGGAGAGAATGGAGCGAAACAGAATAACTTCAAGAGTGTATCAGTCTGTAGTGGAAGGAAGGCGGGGTAGGGGTCGGCCTAGGAAAGGTTGGAGGGAGGGGGTAAAGGAGGTTTTGTGTGCGAGGGGCTTGGATTTCCAGCAGGCATGCGTGAGCGTGTTTGATAGGAGTGAATGGAGACAAATGGTTTTTAATACTTGACGTGCTGTTGGAGTGTGAGCAAAGTAACATTTATGAAGGGGTTCAGGGAAACCGGCAGGCCGGACTTGAGTCCTGGAGATGGGAAGTACAGTGCCTGCACTCTGAAGGAGGGGTGTTAATGTTGCAGTTTAAAAAACTGTAGTGTAAAGCACCCTTCTGGCAAGACAGTGATGGAGTGAATGATGGTGAAAGTTTTTCTTTTTCGGGCCACCCTGCCTTGGTGGGAATCGGCCAGTATGATAAAAAAAAAAAAAAAAAAAAAAAAAAAAATATATATATATATATATATATATATATATATATATATATATATATATATATATATATATATATATATATTATATATATATATAGGATGGACAAGATTCCAATGCTCTATTTATTCATGTAAGAGATTTTAACCATCCAATTGATTTTCAAAAAGTTGAGAAAGTAGTATCAAGCAAGTCCATGGTCGACAGGAATATAATTGAATCTTGTTTCATAAAAAGCAGTTTTGACAATAATATGAATATTTCCTTTGGTTTATATAAATTAGATCCATTTATAATTAATAGAATTTGGGAAGAATTTAATAATACACTGGACAAATAATTTTTAAATTTTCTTGGGTAGAATAGCTTGGGGGTGAGTTGTGCAAAGGACCTATCCAAGTTGGCTCGCCGCGCGTCACGTGTTTAACCGTTGTGGGATCTGATAGTGAGGTGCTGGCCGGACCCCTTATATAGCTTCCTTGGATGCTTCACTTTCATAGTTCCTTGATAATGTGAGTAGTCACGAAAGCGCTTGGAATTTCTCTATTCTTTCAGAGTGGTTGTTTTGCATATTTTGAAATCACCTGTTCACTGTGATCTTATTGCATATATATATATATATATATATATATATATATATATATATATATATATATATATATATATATATATATATATATATATATTATATATATATATATATATATATATATATATATATATATATTTACATACATATATACATATATATAATTTAGAGAGGTACCACCTCTAGAACTGTCCTTGGGACCCTCATCCTCAGAGAAAAGAATAAACTTGCTTCTCCTACCACCCCCTATTTATTCTACATATGCTTCATTTAAAAACAAGATACATTGACAAAAATACAATATGAAGTAAAACAACATAGATAACAACTCAGAGCTATATCTCGAATGCTTACTCCAGCTCCCCGGCGGTGGACCGCGTGCCCAGAATCCTGCAGGCATTTCCTCTCTGGATCGCAACACTGAGTATCTGAAAGAGGAAGCTGGTCGCCCTGTGGTCCTTGGTTTCTATGATGAGTTTTTCACCCAGCTCTTTGGGGAACTTTACAGCACACTTGCCCCATGCTCCAAGGGTCTCTGCCCCTATTGGGATGAAGTTATAGCAAGGGGGAAGGTCTTCATATTTGCTGGTCTTCTGGGTCTTCCTACGGTTGGCGCTCCACCCCCTTCAGCTACGGAGTATGGCAAGTAGGTGTCTGCCAATGTGGCGGCACAGGTGGAGTCCCAGGCAATCTGCTTTCCATCCTTCCATCAGGACGCTTTTGACTTCTGTCAGACCTCTGCACTTGGGGTTCCCGTTGAGCTGGGCAACGGGCTGTGGCGAGGATTCTCTTTATGTCACTGACCTCCTCATGTCTGGCATACTTCCCTTCTGCTGTGTGACACACGAGACCATGAAGTCCGAATTAATCAGCCGTCGCCCTGTCACAAATATACCTATGTTCGGTGAGGATGGGGGCGGCTAGGCGAAGAGCAACACCAATCCGAATGGCCTGTGGGTCGAGTCGAGTGCCCAGGGAGGAATTGGGAACAGCTAGAAGGAAATCTCCTGAGTGTGGTGCCTTCACCGCCAGGAGACGAGCTTTGTCCTTTCCTGAAGCTTTGGTGAGCATTCTGTTGGCAAATTTTTTCATGATCGGTTTGTCCCAGTGAGACTGTGCTCTATGGGAGGAGCTGGTCTACTGGAGGAGTCTGCATGGGTGTCCCACAGCATCGCTGCTTCAGTAAACCCAGGGTCTTGAGCTCCTACCACGTCTCTCAAGCGTTCGGGGACGATCTTCTTGACTAATGCACTGGAAGCCAAACACGAAGACAGAAAAGCAGGTAAAGCTACATGTGTTGCTTTGAGCACCCCTATACCTCCCAGTCGCACTGGGAGGGTTGCCTGATCCCATTGCCGATCCTCTAGTGAGAGTATATAAATATATATATATATATATATATATATATATATATATATATATATATATATATATATATATTATATATATATATATATATATATATATTTATTTATTTATTTATTTATATATATATATTCAATAAGATCACAGTTAACAGGTGATATCACAATATGCAGAACAACCACTGTGAAAAAATAGTGAAATTC